TATATTTCTTCCCCAAAATAGTGATTGAATTTGGTGGCAGACACTTTGCAAAACTGAGGAGGCAGAGTGTAGTAGAAGGACAAGGTGGTGCTGTCAGCACCACAGATTTCTCTCGGTGGAGTGGTGTGGTGGCCAGGCTCCCAGCCCTGTGGGAGGTGACAGCTCCACTCTGTCCTTGATGTGTGACAGCTCTGGGCTCCTGACTTTGTGCTGGGCCTGTTCAGGGATATTTGGATGTGGTTTATGCAGTCTTTGGTACCTGTGCTGTGGATTGCTCAGTCCTGCACTACAGCTTATGGAACTATGACTAGGACAGGGAGTATTAGGATAAATTATAAGATAATTCTGAAGTGTATTGATTGCTGGCAAACTGTTGAAGCAAACAATTTCTGGAAATACTGTGGTATAAAAACACTTTCAAATAATGCTGCAGGGGAGATTTCAAGTGTGCATTATGGTAGCTAGAGTAATGTTAAAATATTTATCTACCGTTATTCTTAAATTCATTTAAAACTTAATCTGACTCTTATGATACAGTTAATCTCCAGTGACTAATCCGACAATTACATGCTTCCTAATGAGTAGTCTGAACATGACTGACCTTGTAAATACTTTGGCTCACAAAAGAAGTACTTTATGTTGGTAAATTCCTTTTCTCCAAGTTTCAGTGGGAAATATTAATACTGCCTATGACTATGCGAGAACAGGAAACAAAAATGAACATTAATACTGAAAGTGTCTTGTACAAAAACTACAATAGCTTGTTAACTAAGACTGAGCATCATCCTCCCCCACTGTGAGCACATCAGTTAATCATAGTAGGCATTACTCAACTTCATTTGGCATCAGTAAAATTTCAGATGTAATCCAAATAGCAGGGTAAATCTTTCCCTAATTTGATGAGAGTATAATTTTAATAGTAGTCTTCTTCTTTATTTCACCACAGCCTCTTGTAGAGCTGGGGAGCAATTAAAATGTTGGCTGTGTTATAAAGAGTTCTTTGGATGTTGACCACTTACAGAGAGAGTCATACAGCAGGGAATCTTTTTGCTTAAAAATAATTTTTTAAAAAGTGCTTTTGCCAGAAAGGTGATAACAAGGATATAGCTCTTGTAAGACTAGCCAGTAGAAATGACCATAGTTGATGATTTCTCCAGTAACAAGCCCTGCTCCTTTGCAACTCTCACAAATGCACTGCACAAAACATATTCCATCTGCTGCAAACAGAACTTTTCCCCTATGCTGTAAGCAACAGTCAAATACTGTAAGTTGTGGTCTTTTTTGATCAGCTGGACTGACAAGGTGGTGTTTGAGATTTCTCCCTTTTGGAGTGTTGCCATATCTACTTAGTGGGAGCTTGCAGATTTTCCCCATCTGTTCAGAGTCTACCCTATCACCTGATAAATACTTTAGAGCACACAGTGGACATATCCTACTTTCAAGAAGTCAGTGAGGGCAAGAACTCCTCCAGTCTGTCCATACTAAACTATCCTGTAAGCTTTCTGTGGCACATTTCATTACAATACAGCCACTGGATCTGTCTGCCTTTGTAAAGCAGGCAAATCCTATGAAAATAGGTAACTGATATAGAAAAATAAATGCTCTATATTTTTAGACCTTACTAAAGACTGGGGATTTTTTAATAGCAGAAGAATGATTCCAAAAATTACAGTTGTTTACAGAAGGGTTACATTCTGCCATCTATCTTTGTGCAGAAGTCCCATTGGGGTCTCTCAGCAGGCTACTCCCAAAACACAGATGTTTCTGGCTATTCATTCAGTGTTTTAGTTCTGCTGGATGCTTCTTACTCTCTAGCTTTTTGTTACTGGGAGCTTGTTAAAACATAGATGTTTCGTTTTGTTACCACCACCAGCGCTTCCTCCGAAGTTACCTAACCAAAAAAGTCTGTATAGCTGCCACTGGGTGGTGTATGCCTTGTGAAAGTAAAACTTTCAGAGTTGTCTATAAGTGGAACTTCCAGATCTAACCCAAAAGAAGGGGGTGTGTATACATCCATGTCCTGGTAAAATTCAACTTTGAATTGGGCAATAGAGTGTGTGTTTATATTTTCCTTCTCAGTTCTTATAAGTTTCATGCTTTCTTGAGAGCCACCTACTTTTACAAACATGGAAAGGCCCTTAGTATGTCTGCAGGCATCTTGAATTAATCACAATTATCTTTAGGACATAGTCCATATGTCAACCACCTAACATTTTTTTAAATGCAAAGGAAGATGCCATTTTCTACCACTTCCATGTCCTTGATGTTGTTGTTCAAATTCTAAGAAGATTTTTAGAACCTTTGTGGTGTAGCTTTTGGTTAGATAGCAGAATTTCTTTTTGTTAGGTGTCACAGACCATGCTGAGCCAGGATTTAGGGCATTGTAAACTGCTTGTGCTTCTGTTCCACCAACTATTTTGTATCAATTGGCTGATAATGTGTTCATAACCCACATATTTGACTGTCCAAAGTCAGCTCTAGAGCTCTGGTTATGTCACTGAGGCTGAGTAATTGCTGAGTCTTTCAGAATAAAGAGAAACTGCAGGAGGAAGAGGAAAAAAACATTTTACCTTCCACTGCTTTACTTTATGCATACCATCCAATTCAAGTTTATGTGTTCTGTTGGTTTCTTCTTTACCTAGCAGCTCCTCATAAATATCAAAAGGCAAACTGTAATGCTAGTATGAGTATCCTATAAATTTTTTTATAGGTTAAGTCTGAACATGCTAGACAAGTATAAAAGCAACTTCTGATTTCATCCCTTTAGTTTGCTCAGACGTCCAGAAAAACTACTAAGATAGTGAAATTAAGTTTTCCCCATGTCTATATCCACATACCAATTTTTGCATGGGGATACATAGCAATTATATGAAACCCATTGTGTTATCCTTTTGAGGCAGCAAAAGTTAAATTAGTGCTGGGAAGCTTCTCTCATGCAATAGCAGCGAGGGGCAGGGGGGGAGACATTTAAGAATATCTGTGATTTATGACTGGAAAGATTTCAACAAAATCCAACGATATGCCACAGCATATGCACATATGCCTGTTGCCTTATGTTTTTTGGTCTTGTAGGAAAATTTACTCGTAAAGCAAACAAGCTCCCAAAACACTGTTCAAAAGAAAGAAGGGACTGAACTGGCTTGAAACTCAGTAAAGTACTTCTAGAGCCTGAAACTCTTACAAGAGTTTCTACTGACTAGAACTGATATGTATGTCCAACATAAGAGTCAATGGATGGAAAAAAATTAAGATACCAGAGTGTTTGGTCTCTGTATCAGTAAACAGTTCTCGGCCACTCTATAGACTTTGGTAGCAAAGAGCCTCTCTACCTTCGATGATATGGAAAATTACTGCAAACTTTTTACTGAAATGTGCCTCTTATAGCTGTTGGCTTTCTCTTCACTGCCATTTGGAAGTATTTGAATCAGAAGACGCTAATGAAGACCCATTTTTTTCTAGCTGAACTGGCATAAGATAATACATGATTGCTGAACAAAATGCAAGAGGTGCAGACTGTTACCTTCTGTGCCTGAGCTGGCAGTGAATTATGAAGGAAGCAGGTTAGGAAATTAAGTGACCCAAATTACTGTAGAAAAGAGTTCAGGCACTCTGGGTGTCACCTTGTGCAATGTGAGATACGACAATATATCTCTTTCCCTGAAAATTGCCAGGTAACATGGAGATGTGGCAGTGGTGCATCTGCCCTGAGTGGCATCCTGAATGATGCTGCCCCACCTGCACCTGACCCAGGAGGAGCCTGCTGGGTTCCTGATGCATTGTGCTGCTGTAGTGTGAATGACCAGGACTATTTTTGGACGTAACGAAATAAAGATGAAAGCTATTTTTCAGTACTAACTACTTTCTTCAGTTTGTCTGTGTGGTGAGCAGAGAGATTTTCTGACTCCTCTCAGAAGTTTTGGAGCTACCAATTCGATTGAGTTTTTCATTAGCACCAATATCCTATTAAGTTCCAAGGACAGGTATAATTCCATGTTATTTAATAGGGATTTTTCCATTCATCCTGCATTCCTATTTTCACAGGAAGCAATTATTTTATGCTACAAGCGTGACCTATTAGCCTTTATCACCAGGCAACCACACTATCACTATATACATACATAAATATCTTTCAGAACGTGCTTTCTCTCTGTCAGTTCTGTCTGTGTGGTTCAGCGTTCACACACAGTTCTCCATCTGCCAGGCAGGGTCTGTTCCTTCTGTGTGTGATTTGAGAGCACCCCAGGCACCTGCCCGGCTCGCAGATGGTGTTACTCCATCACAGGCTGGAGTCATCACTGACAGCACAGCGTACTTCGGGGAGATGAAAGAGGATGATGGAGTTAAGGTCTTACTGAAGACATGCCAGACAATCGGAGCCAACTATATATATTACTTTGTGTAATTTTTTGTTTCTGTCATTGCCAAACTGTGCAGGAGGCGAGGCTTTGTTTGTAACAAGTCTCCTACCTACTTTGGAGGAGGGGAGAACCCCCACACTGCAGAACCGAGGGCAGAAGTCACAATCTTACATTAAAACTGCCCCCACGAAACCTTTCAGTGGTCTGGCACTAGCTCTTCTAGATGCTATTTTTCTGCTTGAGTGTCTTTGGTTTGGCTTTCCCCCCCCCCCCCCCCCACCCCTCCTCTTGGTGCTATTTTTTGCGAACGAAAAAAAGTGTTAAGCAGACTGGAGCGGCAGCAGAAGGCAAATACGCCTATACTGAAAAACTAAGTAAAACTTCGAGGAGTGTGTGAGCACTGGCTCCCGGGAAGGGGTTGAGCGGTGGGTCCCCCTGCCCGGGAGGAGCGGGGAGCGCTGCGGAGCGCCGCGGGGCCGCCGCTCCTCCCTTGGCCACCCGGCGCCGCGCCCGGGCACCGCGGGGTGAGCCCGGCTCCCGGTGTCCCCCAGAAACTCCCACCGCAGCGGGATGCCGCCCTCGCGGCGGTGCGCCTCGGGGCTGTGGGGCCGGGGAAAAAGACCTCGCAAGCGGTTCTCTTACCCCCTCCATTTTTGTAGCAGAGGTATGGAAATCGCCAGACGTTGGCCAGGTCCACGGCGAAGCCGATGACGGAGAGGAGGAAGTCGATCTTCTTGCCCCAGGTCTCCCTGTCCTGGGTGCCCCGCGGCGCGGGGGCAGTGGGCAGGAGGCTGCTGCTGGTGTACTGCACCCCGTTGTGCTCCTTCACCAGGATCAGCTCCACGTCCTTCTTCGGCGGCGGCGGCGGCCCCGCGCGGTCCGGCAAGGGGGCCACCACCGACACTTTGCGCTCGGGCTGGACCTGTTTGTTCATCCTCGCCTTAAACATCCAGAGAGAGCGAGCTGAGGAGGGGGCGCGGGCGCGCAGATAACGGAAGTGCGCTTCCGTTGGCGGAGGCGACTCCGCGCTCAGCCCGGCGGTGTCAGCGCGGCGGGAGCGAGGCACGGCCGTAATAAGAGCCATGCAAATGAGGCGGGAGAGGGGGGACCGCGGCGCCCCCGGGGAGCGGGGCTGCCCGCGCCCTCTTCCGCGGGGAGCGGCCGCACCTGGGGCCGCCCGGCCCCGCCAGCTCCGACCCGCGCCCCGCACTGCCCGGAGCCCCGCACTGCCCGGAGCCCACACAGCCCGGAGCTCCTAACGCCCGGAGCCCGCACCGCCCGGAGCCCCGCACTGCCCGGAGCCCCGCACCGCCCGGAGCCCCGCACTGTCCGGAGCCCCGCACTGTCCGGAGCCCCTCACCGCCCGGAGCCCCGCACCACCCGGAGCCCCGCACTGCCCGGAGCCCGCACAGCCCGGAGCTCTGCACTGTCCGGAGCTCTGCACTACCCGGAGCCCCGCACTGCCCGGAGCCCCGCACTGTCCGGAGCTCCGCACGGTCCGGAGCTCTGCACTGTCCGGAGCCCCGCACCGCCCAGAGCCCCGCACTGCCCGGAGCCCCGCACTGTCCGGAGCTCCGCACGGTCCGGAGCTCTGCACTGTCCGGAGCTCTGCACTGTCCGGAGCTCTGCACCGCCCGGAGCCCCACACTGTCCGGAGCTCTGCACCGCCCGGAGCTCTGCACTGTCCGGAGCTCTGCACTGTCCGGAGCTCTGCACCGCCCGGAGCCCCGCACTGTCCGGAGCTCTGCACCGCCCGGAGCCCCGCACTGTCCGGAGCTCTGCACCGCCCGGAGCCCCGCACTGTCCGGAGCTCTGCACTGTCCGGAGCTCTGCACTGTCCGGAGCTCTGCACCGCCCGGAGCCCCGCACTGTCCGGAGCTCTGCACTGTCCGGAGCCCCGCACTGTCCGGAGCCCCGCACCGTCCCTGGTTCCCCGCCGAGTTACTCGGTTCGGCTCCGTCCTGCCGCAGAGTACGGCGCGCTCGGAGCTGCTGCATCCCGCCGGGCAAAACACGCATCCCTAGCCCAGGCAGCTGAAATTGCCGTTAGCAGGCAACAGGTAGATTGCATTGCCCACTTCTCTTCTTTCTCGGCTGATCTCCCCTGTCCGCTAGTGTGGCTTTAGTTAAACGGTAGAATTGTTGTGTTTTGACATCAGTACCTGGTGGGATGCAGGCTGCACGGCAGAGCTGGACAATGCTAATGCTCTTGTGCCTGGGCTGACGGATGCCCAGCTTCTTTCATGGCAAGCAGGAGGCTGGTTGAATTCAGTTATCAGGCTGAGGCATTTGTGGGACATTAGCTATTTACTGCTATACAGATGGAACCCGAGTCTTTTCCATGTAAAATGGGGAAACAAGTATCTGGCAGAACAGTGATTGGTGCCAGAAGATGGCTAAATGCAGCTGCAGAAAGGGGTTTTCAGGGGCTCTTCTTGTTGCAGCTGTGAATAGTAACTCTACACTCTGTGTTAGTTAAGGGAATAAAATTTGTTCTCAAAAGACAGAAACCAGCTTTCCCTCCCCAGTAGTAAGTAGCTTCCCTTCTGCCGGTCATCAGTAGGACCAGGTCAAGACACAGAGGATTCTCGAAGGTGTTACAGCCTACCATACTTATTTACTCTGCTAGAGCTGATAAAACACTTTTACATATATTGTAATACATAAAGAGGTGATAGTCAGAGTTCATAAAGAAAACCAGATTTGTCTGCAAACTTGGAATGTGAAAAAGAATATCACCTCAGAGTTAAAGTTCACATATTGGCTTCCACCCCATCTCTCTTTAGGCCACAGACTAAAAAGGTGCTAGCAAGACAGCTAGTGACAATATACAGATTTTATGCCTTCACAAAAAATGCTTGGTTCAAGCTCCAGCATCCAAGCTCTGACTTGAATCCTAAAGCCTTCATTGGGTGAAGTATTTGAGCAGTGGCTCTATGTTCCAGAGCACTTAGGTGCTTAGACCATGCAGCTCATATGTTCTCTTTTGGTCACTCTGTGACTTCTTGTCCTTGTCTCTTTCCAAGACACCACACAAGACTTTTTCTCTGCTTTTGGACACTCCATGCCATACGTGCTGTCTGTATGACTATCCCATGGTGCCCTATGAGCAGTTGCTGTTTTCCTGTGCAGTGCAGCCCACGGGATCGTGCTCGTGCGCAGCTGCGCTGCTGCCTCCCCCTCGCAGCACCCATCAGTCACTCCACAACATGCACCAAAACCACCAAACACAGACCGTGTGCCATGCACTGCCCCCAAATACGCCTGGCTCACCTGAGTTTAGGTGAATCTGCACCCCCATTCTCCCACAGCAAATACAGGGCACACTCTGTTTCAGACATAAAGGCAGCCTCTGCTCTCAGCTGCACAGCCCTGAAGGCATCTTGTTGACAAACTCACCAGATAGCACTGTGGGTGTCTCTGTCCCATGCCCTGGTACCTATGGGGAGGGGGAAGATGTCTGAAGGGGAACTGCTCCTTCTTGGTTCCACCACTCAGGGACTGCAGTCTCTCTGGGAGCTGAAGATGTAGTCTAGCCAGTAAGGAGCTTTTAAAACCTGGTTCCCCTCTCTCCACGTGACTATTACTGCCTTAATGATCTGCACAGACTTCCTACGCTAGACAGTGGCACTCCTGTGTTGCTTCTGGAAAAATAGGGCCTTGCTGAGGAACACCCTTTCCCCCACTAGGTCTCAATTAGCTGAGCTTGATCATGATGTCTATGGTGGGAGGAATCTAGAAAGCCCCCGCTTATTTCCTAAGAGAATTAAGTCACTCTGCATATATAGACACGCACATGCACATGCACACACACATATATATATATTTTTTTTTTTACATGTATGCCTTTAGTTCTTGCATGGAAAGTGTGCACAATCTGGTTAATGTAATATCTGCTGCACCCTCAAGGTAAGAAAGTCCTCAATTTGATTTTATGAAAAAGTTGCTTAATCTTGAATCTGTCTGGATCTTGTTATGCCTAATGTAGCCTGACAGTGGGTAGAGTTGAAGTCAGAGAAGAGAATATTGTATTTAGAAGCCTCAGTGGGGCCAGGCAAGATGGCAGGGTGTTAGAGATATGCCACAGTTGGCTGGGAAACAGGTTGTAATTTACTTCAGTAAATAGTCAGGTACTGCTAGGTTAGTCATCAATAATTCAAATTCTTGTCTGTCATTTCTTGTGATGTATGGGAGAATATAGTGTGTGCTGTAGCAGTAAACTGAGGCTGTCACTCACACATTAGTGTCTAGGAAGAAAAAAACCCCAGTGAACAACAATTCTGCGTGTACTTTCAGAGTTCCATTTGCTGGTGGTGTGAAGGCTTACTGTGCTTGTTGGCAGCAGAGTTTGAATTCTCCAATGCTGGCAGCACAGCCCTCTGCCACTGACCTACAGAACTACAGGAGCTGCCTACAGTCCTTCCTAAGAACCTAGGAACGTCTTCTGAGAAGGGCAGTACCAAACAAACAGTATTTAAATAGTCTGGAACTTGCACTTTACTGTTGGTGCATCTGTAAGAATCTTGCTTCATGAAGTGTCTGATATGCTTGGTGCAAGAGCTTGGCAGTTGAGCCAAGGAAAACAGTAACTGAGAGAGGATATAATTGTTTTGTAAGTAAATTGAGATAAATGTCACTGAGAAAAAACACCACCACTGTTTAAACCAAAGGAATCACAATAAATTTAGTGGGAAAATGAAAAGAGTTCTAACTATCAAAGCAGTGAATGCAATGGGAACTAAGGACTTGGGGTTTGGGATATTTTTTTATGAGTAGTTTTATATGACAAAGTTGTTCCTTGACTTGAAGACTTGGGACATCAGTTTCTTATTATAATCCAAGACACAGTGAAAAAAGTAGAAAGGGGAACGGATGTATACATCAAGTATTTAATTTCATGTCCTGGTATACCTACAGAAACTCATTCTGGCCTTGAGGCTCACCATCACTAAAAAGACTAAACATTTTTCAAACAAAGTGCATAAGTTGAATGAGGTTAGGTTTAGTTATTCTGTAATAGAAGAAACTTGAGGAATAGCCAGTTGCTGCAGGAACTGGGAACAAAGCCTTCTGACTAAATCAATGTTAAAAGGATTTCACAGTGATAGGAACATGGCATTGGCAGGGGTGCCCATCTTTCTAGGTTAATAAGTAAAGGATGCCATGCCATAGACTATACTGGGCATCTTTTAATGACAGGAGATATATCAGCCCCAGCTTCTTGGACTTTTAAGAGTGGGTTGGGCATGTTTCCTTCACAATGTCTCTAAAATTACACTGCCATTCCAAATGTAATGTTTATTTGGTATTTAAAAGTTCCATGTTTTATTGTTACCAGGCTGCTGTCATCGTATCTCTTACCTAGAGGTAAAGAAATGCATCTCTTTCACTGAGAAGGGCTTGTTTGAGTTGGTTCTACCCAGCATTTTGACATTGTCTGTCATGTTACAAACTGTCTTCAGACTGAAAATAAATATTACAGAAACGCTTCACAGTATTTTGGTATTCTGTTCATGCAAGAGTACCAAGTTCTAGGGGAAAACAAGGCATCTCCCTGTTTCTCATGATAACAGCTTTTGTAACTTCCTTATCAAATTGCTTGAGATTGTCACAATACACACCTTCAAGGCACATTTTACCTGGGATCTGCTACCTCTGGCACCCGATGACCTTCCTGAGACCATCAGTGTCACTCAAGAAAGCTATCCCATGGCGTCTTTATTATTTTATAACATATAGAATATGTGTATGTGGATAGGATGACACTGAAGTCCAGCAGTTTTTATCCCTCATAATTACACCACTGCCCCTTCTCTATAGGCATAACTTTTTCACCTCTCTTTGACCTCTTTCCAGTTTACTAGCACTTAGTGTCTTTTAAAGATTTCATTCTCCTTTGGAACGTTTCATACAGTAGTTAAGTTTCAGCTTCAGCATATTCTTTCTTGCTATCTGTTTTGGATCACTAGCTCCTGCTGCTGCTTTAGCACCAGGCTCATTCTGTTCCAGTTGTATGAGAGCAATTTGCAAAGCTGATTGTTAAGTGGGGTGGAACTGGGAGCACTCCCAGTGTAAGTCTGACTGTGCATGGGGTACACTC